TGTGAGAAGTCTAGGCTCCCGAATTTTCTACAAAATCGGCTCACAGATGGCGGCGATGCCAGCCTTACGCTCTGGCCGCCCTTTACCCACGGGAAGATTTTTGGTACTCATTTCTACGAGAGTTTGAGTCAACCCCAGGGCCATAGTGAGACTGGAAGGATTTAGTCAATTGAAAAATCCAATGACTTCATCGAGAATCAAACCCGCGACCTTCCGGCCTTGTAGCATAGTGCCTCAAGTATTAGTGGTTTGGCAGTATCTATAGATGCGAATTCAACTACGTAAGTTTCAGATTCAAAGAATCATGCAATTTAAAATTCATTTGCAAATTTTAAACCTGATCAGAAATGTGTGCGATTTGTTCTCTCCAGGCATGGGTAGCATCTGAACCCACAGGAAGCCCCCTTCTACCGCCTGGGCAGTATATTTACCTAGAGTAACGTAATAGATAAGTGCTTTTGTCAGAACTTGAAACATTTATCGAAACATTACTGGTAGTTTTAAAGGCAAACTTTCCGAACGCATGTTTCAGACACCTGCCTATGAAAATTACATTTTTGTTTGTCATAGATGGAAGATATATGAGGTTCAAACAAAAATTCTTGTCGACTTATTACGAAACAAGTCAAATTATATTTGTGTTAAAAAGAATTCAAATATTGAAATGAAGAAATGAAGATTTCAGTATAATTTAAACAGTGTCCTGCTCAAAGGACACGATATTCTGGGATGTAACTGCATGTGGTCCAGCAGAAGCTCCCGGCTTCACATCTCAGAAGGTGTAACTCCTCAGTAACTACTGTGAGAACACGAAGCCCATCACATTCAAACATGACAAATTCTGTTTTCTTCCTATATATTACTTTCTATACTGCACCAAGAACATCTCTTCTTGAGAAGCCTATAGTCGCTCATTCGATAAATATGCTGAAATTATGGATTATGAAGATTCACTCCTGGTTTCACAGAAGGCAGCCATTTTGTCTTAGCTTAATCCTGAATAATCCAGTCCACATCCTAATGCTGTATTTCTTTAATATTAATTTTGCCGGACTCGGTAATAGCAATCATTTTCCAAATTTAACCTGATTTTAATTAGTTGAAAGATTGTGACTTTTTTTTAATTCACTTAGTCGAGGGTGGAGTCCAACTGGGTCTACTCAGCACGGCGGCCACTGATTGGCCTATTCTAGCCTGCCCCTGGTGTTTATGATGATGGAGAATTTGGTGGAATGAATATTGACAGGGGAAACCGAAGTACTCGGAGAAAATCCGCCCCAGCGTCACTTTGTCCACCACAAATCCCACTTGACCAGACCCGGGATCGAACCCAGGCCGCCGCTGTGGGAAGCCAGCGACTAACAGCTTGAGCTACGGCGCGGCCTAAGATTGTGACTTTGTTACTGTAGTTCCAAAATGCTTCAACTCGATATATTTTCGAACGATTTATTAACTAGCTCATTTTTTTTTATTTTATGCTCTATTTCTTGCCCCAGACACGATATAGCTTTCTCTGTATGCTTCTAGAACAACCACTTTACAAGCGTCTAATACTCGTACGTGTCCAACACTAAAAGTTTTATCCTGCTTTAGTATAAATAAATTCCTTTCTATTTTTTATCGGAACGAAAGTGCTGTTTCTCTCTCTCTCT